GGACAGAAGTTTACTGCGTTTCAGCAGTATTCTTCCAAATATAAAAACATTTAAAACATTCGAAAGTGGGGGTTTAAGACACCTTTTTTTTTTTTTTTTTTTTTTTTTTTTTAACAGTACAACTGTCATTTATAATATATTTGTAATTTTTATAATTAGAATTTGTGCAGCCCTATATATTACTTTGGGGGGGGGGGGGGGGGGGGGAAGATTACATTTATTTGTATCTGTTTACCTGCATGTCATTTGACCATTAACCAGCATCAGAGAACCTTGAATGTGCACATGCAGTGTTAAATAGAAATTTTATCATACAAATTGTAATATATTTTACTTCTATGGTGCTCGGCTGACACAAGTTTGGGAGATTTGGAGGATTTGATGTTGATCATTTTGCCAACACTCCTCTCTGAGCGGGAGTTTTATCCCTGTGATTGTCCACAAACTCTTGTGCTTTTTTTATGCTGAGTCCAGATGCATCGCTCCACTGAACTCTCTCACACTGACTTTCCCCTGAAAGCAGTTTCCTAGCAGAGACACTTCCTAGCTTTAGTGCCCCGGCTTTCCAGGAACCATGAACCGTCTGTGTAAGTGTACATTTACACGACAACGGAGACGTTTCCCGCATTCAGACGACACCACTGTCAAAACGATCCGCGAAACCGACTAAGAACGCTGTGTTCTGCTGCCGGGCCAGTAGATGGCGATGGACACTATAGACTGAACACGTAATACACAAACAGTCGTCGGTGGTACTTCGTTTAGAGAAGCTGTCAATCATGACGTCACATTCCCGTTTGAATAGCAGACCAAACTTATTTAAAAACACGAACACTTAAACTTACAGCAGCATGATCAAAACTGACTAAAATGACAGAAAAGATTTATTCGAAGTGTAATTTGATTTAGTTTCCATTAGACTTCATGAGGAGGCGGGGTTTCATTTACACACCCAACATGTAAATGAACGGCCAAAACACGTGAGTTTGAGTAAACGGCCCCTTAATTGACTGAAAATGGAAGAAAAGACTGGAAGAACATAGCGATGAGGGGAAGTCATGGATGCTGCAAATTGAATTCAAACACAATCGATCTACAATCAAAAATAACTTTATTCTAGAGCTGCTGTAAAGCCAAACAATCTGTTACTGTAATCTCCTGTAGTCACTGTAAAGCTGCTGTGAAACATTTATATTGTTAAAAGTGCTGTATAAATGAAGGTGATTTGACTATAAATTATACCCAACTTTTCTTTGACCTCATTTGCATATCTCGGTCGGGGCGATGAGTGGATTGCCGCTTTGCGAGGACAGTGTCTAGTGTGCGAATATAAAATGGCTTCATATATTGAAAGTCATTACAGACTTGGACTACTACAGCAAAAGACAACTTGGCAAAGAGTTGTGTGTGTGTGTGTGTGGTAGTTAGTGGTCAGCGTGTGTGTGAGTCCTGTGTGTGTGTTGAGCAGGAGTCAACAAGGCCGGTCTGTGTGTGTGTGGGGCGTAAACTGGCCCCGGGCCCCGGACTCAAACAACACGGCATCAGCTGTCTGAAGACCAGGGCCGTGTGTGTGTTCAGACCGACACACACTCCGCTTTATAGGGTTCCTGCTGTTATTGGACGCCCGTGCGTTCGGAAAAAGCCACTAAGATACAAGACCGCTTTCCTCTTTCTGACACTTTGGCATCACATGATGATAGAGCTCAACTAATATTGGTTTCTAGGGCTGGGTATTGACACAAATTACACAATTCGTTTCAATATTGATTATTACAGACATGCATTTAATACTGAAAAACATTAAAAATTATAATGAATATGTAATATGGTGCCTATATTTAGCAAAATGCTCCTCTCTAAAGTTAATTTTTCTAGCTGATGGACTGGATATGGTTTTTCTGAGGTAAATGTGACGTTACATGACATTGTTTACAAGCTGTTACTGACGTCTCTCCACGGTTGAAACACTGACTTTATTTACTATGTATTTACTATTTCAGATGCTCATTGGTATTGGTATTGGTTTATTTAAGAGGGGTCAGTGCAATTTCATAAAACACATTAACAAACATGGTTAAAAAAGCCAGAATTAGCCAAAAGGCTATTTTTCAGCTGTAGTCCCCTGGGCAAGATGTAAAAGAAGCATTAAAATACAAACATGAAAATACATTTACAAGTCTATGGCAAATCAATAACTACAATATAAATGACACTATAAAATAACTTAAGACACACAATGTTTAAACACACACACACACACACACACACACACACACACACACACACACACACACACACACACACACACATACTATACATGTTAATAGTATGTACAAATGTTCTTTAATGTACAAAAATGACCTGTATTTCTTAAATAATATTACAAAAACCCATCAGCAATCACTCCACATAATGTCTGGTGACCTAATATTAAATTAATACAGACCTTTTGTTTGACAGTAAAAGTATGTGTACAGTATTCAACAAATTAATAAATTAAAATGGTAAATAATAGTTTAAAATAATATTAAAAATAATAAGTTGTTGTTGTTATTATTAGAATAGTAGTAATTGAAAATAACAAATATTAACATTCATATTTTTCAATACATTATTAAAATAGTTATTATAATATATTATTCTTATTAACAATAATTGGATATACACTAAATATATATATATTTGTTTATTAATAAACTTTCATTATTATATTTGAAAATACTAAAATAATGTATAAATAAACTTAAATAATAGTAATAATGCATTGTTGTTGATGAAATTGGAGTTTATCTGCAGAAATTATGAAATCAAAATTATTTTATTAAAAAAAATAAAAAATAAACTTGAAGCCTGGCACATGTTTCCCAGAGCGACTGCCTCATCTGGACACAGTAGAAGTGTGTTGATGTTATTGATGGTTTTGTGAGATCGTCTCCTGCGTTCTGTAGGTGCTGTGATGTCATCGTGCGTGCGTGTGTGTGTGTGTGACTGGGAAAGGGGCAGAGGGTCTGATGGTAATACAAGCCGCCTGGGCTATAAATAGCTGTGGAAGGAAAGGCCTGCATGTCTGTGGTCTGCTGTGTTAATTACAGAGCAGGGTTAATGTGCAATCCTGCAGATGTGTGTCAGACTCATGCAAGCCGCTCTTTCACATCAGGGGTCCGTATGGACTTAAACAAGCCAGGAGCTTTTACTTGTAGTTGTGCAACGAATCACAAAATGTACGGTTTTTGAGCCACGGATCGGATCATTTTGCGGATCAAAAAAACAACAAAAAACATGCATACATACATATATATGTATATATATATGTGTGTGTGTATGTATGTATTTTTATGGTGTATATATACAGTGATATATAAAATATATATATATATATATACACTACCGTTCAAAAGTTTGGGGTCAGTGAGAATTCTATTTTTATTTTTTGGAGGAAAGAAATCAATACTTTTATTTATCAAGGAATAATTCATTTGATCGAAAGTGACAGCAAAGACATTTATAATGTTACAAAAGTCTTTTGAACTTCCTATTCATCAAAGAATCCTAAAAAAACCACAAAAAAAACTGTACAACTGACAGACCAACAACTGTTTCAACATTGATAATAATAATAACTGTTTCTTGAGCATCAAATCCTCATATTATACTGATTTGTGAAGGATCATTTGACACTGAAGACACTGACACTGGTGATGCTGAAAATTCAGCTTTGATCACAGGAATAAATTACACTTTACTATATATTCACACAGAAAACAGCTGATTTACACTGGAATAATATTTAATACTTTAACAGATTTTTGTTGTATTTTTAATCAAACAAGCGCAGCCATGGTTAGCAGAAGAGAATTCTTTTAAAAGTATTTAAAATCATACCGACCCCAAACTTTTGAACGGTAGTGTATATATATATGGGGGGGGGGGGGGGGTAACTTTGCTTTTCATTTATTACTTAAAGCTCATTTGAAGTTCTTCGATACCACATCAAAAACTAGCCTGACTAGTCAAAAACTAGTTTTTAACATTATTTAAAACAAGTGAACAGTCTGTAATAAAATAAGAGCAAATACACATTACAAGCAGAGATGAATACTAAATATAAGATCTAACCGTAGTGTTCAGGTACAGAAGTTAAGCCTAAATGTAAAATAACACTATTTGTTCACTGTATAAATTAAACAGTTTCATCTTTGTTAAAGCTGTATTTTGTTGTTTTATTAACGTTAATGACACAGACGACAGCAGGAATATTAGGCTGCCGTCAATTTAAGACCGAAAAAACTGGCAAACATCCGGTTTCTTTGACATTACCGAGAGAACACTTGCCGAGACGGGCGTTTAGACATCACTGTGTGTGTGTGTGTCCATTCAAAGGGCAAGGAATCGCAAAAGAGGAATCAATTTGGTGTTCGAGCGCTGTCATAAACGAGCCTCTCTCTGTGTAAATTGGCATGACATAACACGTCCAAATGATAAACTTTCACTCTATGGTTGTTAAATTTAGCAGTTAATCCGCGAATCCCATGCGTGCCGAACCGCGAGTCCGCACGGATCACCTGCGATCCACTGCACTCCTATTTACAAGCCCACCTCTGAGTTAATGAACCATCTCTCCATATAAAGGTCCACTAATATGGAGTTAATATTGTGCCATAATAAATCAAATCCAGCATTTTGCAAACAAACTCGATCTGCTTTGCAAAGGAAAACTCGACTCCCAAAGCAATTTCGCAAGTACAAAGATCAATTTGAGGGAAAATGCAGTGGAGTAACAGATATGTATTGTGTTTTACAAATATAAATGAGCCTAGATAATATTTCACAAACTGCGTGTAACCTTTGAACAAACACCAAATCTAGTTCATATCTGTCTGTTATGATCGTGAGACACTTGGCTTTTTATGAGATCTCTCGACTCGTCACAAAGTCAGTATTGAATATTTGCAATTATTCCATGTTTGTCTGACATCTTTGCCTTGTTTGCTCCCGTTCAGGAAGGGTAAAGGGAAGCCCAATGGGAAGAAGCCGGCCACCGAGGAGAAGAAGCATTACCTGGACGCCGAGTACACCAAGGTCCGAGTCGTGGACTTCGAGCTGAAGGAGCTGGTGGTTCTGCCCAGGGAGATCGACCTCAACGAATGGCTCGCCAGCAACAGTGGGTGTCTCGTAGGGCCGTCACTTTTGTGAAAAAATCCCGTTTGATTTTTGAGACATAAGTGTTCATTGAATCAATTGTAAAATCGATTTTCCATGTCTAAAGACATTTCCATTTTCAACACCAAATACAGGCAAATCCACGGACACCTAACAGGCGTTAGGACGAGCGTAAAGAGGCGCTTGAGACGCGCAATATTCCTGATGATTTATTGGCGTGACGTTTCGTGCACAATGACAAACAGGAGCGCAACATTCAGGGATTGAGATTAACACCCTCGACCCACCAAAGAACTTTGGTGGGAAACGCTGTCAAATCACGAGCCAATCTGGCGTTTCTATGTTTCCTCACTTTGCTGGGGAAGTTCGTGTAAGACAAATCTGTGGGATTCAGCGCAAATACGCAACTCGTGAATCCTCATGATATATTAATACAGCGTATTGCAGAATCTGCGCATTTCTGGCTTACTTGAACACACGTCACTGAGCAACAAATAACGGCGCGCTTGTTCACTTGTATTGAAGTAATAGCGAATATTAAAAAGCATTTGGAGAACAGAAAAGACATTGTTATTGTCCAACATCCTACATGTTCTGTGTGCTGTGTTGATCTGTCCACCTAAAACATTTTTGGTAAAAAAAAGGCCGTTAAAGTCGATTCCCTATTTTCGGTTCTGAAACTTGTGTTGGTTGGTTTCATTAGATTTACTTTCTAACTAGTGCACTTAAATGTGTTACATTGTCATTAAAGTCTCCTCCTATTAAGTGCACTTAAGTTGCCTTTAATTTCAGTATTAATATTATATTATCTGCAAAATATAGGTTTTTTGATAATATATACTTTAGGGATGCACAATATATCGGCCACCATGTTGGTATCTGCCGATATATGTTGATTAATGTTATCATTATTGGCCCGATATATGTTGATTTTTAATGTTATCGGCCCGATACGAAAATTTGGCCGATATATTAAACCCGATAAATAATGTATTGTTTCCTTCAGCTGAGACACTTCAGATGCGCACTGTTCAACATATGGCCAAAAAAATCATATATCGGTATTTTTTGGTTAAATGGCGATATACGATATATATCTCGGTACTTTCTACGTTTTTCTATTCTAAGAAAATCTGTATTTATATATAAAAAAATAATAATAATTCACATCCTACCCAATGATATCCTACAAACAATGTTGATATTGAAGGATATGGAAACAAATATAGTGAATGTAATGTAGGCTATGCAATATATTATAATGTGCAAAGGTGGTTAAAATCACAATACATTCGAACATTGTAACATTACAATGTAAAAACGAAACGAAAACGTTCACGGAAGCTTGAATATTAGCGAAATGGACACATTTGTTTGACTTTCTGACATTTACAGATGGATAATATACCTGTGAAAAGAAAGTTAAGCACTGAGGAAAGCACCACAGTATTCATCAGTATCTGTCAGAGCTGCTTTAAACCGGTTAACTATATCTTACCAGTTATTTTGAAGCCCTTAATAGCCTATAACATGTTTAGGACAAACTGTACTATACACTGCTCATATCAAACTACTGTATCGATATAAACGGTATTGCCTCATTCCATATCGTTTCAAAAAATATATCGAAATATCGTACAAACTCGATATACCGCCCAGCCCTAGTTCAACATGATGGTTTTGAATTGCTTGAAATATGATTGAAATCACTTCAAAAACAGTAAATAGAGTAAAGTACAACATGTGCAGCGCAAGTCTGTCATATCGGCTACATAACATTATAATGAGAGCATTAATTGTGTGTTTGGGACACGGCTTTTACTGGTGAGACTTTTGTTTTTATAATAAGCATCTCAAAAATTAAAGATTTCGATTTATCGGCAAATATATCGGTTATCGGCTTTCAAATATCGGTTATCAGTATTGGACAAAATGTTCATATCGTTGCATTCCTACTGGCATCTAAAAGTCAAATAGTGATCCGAGATCAGCACTTGAACTCTGTGGAATAGAGAAATGCTGAAATAATGAAAATGCTCCCGACAATTTTGTTTTTAATGTGGGAGAAGTCGCGACCCTTGACCCTGACCCTGGCCGACTGTCAGCCGGTGTTTTGTCTAGTTTCTCGGTGTGTTTTGAAAACATGTCTTCTGTTCATCAGAGGGAATGTGTGATTTTAATCTCTGTGTTGCATAACTGTATGATAAACCAGCGCAGAATAATAACATTCCCACGAATCACACCATTGTGTGCATTTCCCCCGATTATATCTTGAAAGAGAACACATGTGAAAAAAACAAAGAATGGCTTAATTTAGGAAACGTTAATGCTCTTTCATATTCCATAAGCACTTATTAAACCGAATCACTGCCTTTTATGGTTAATTGAAGCCTTTCCTCCAGATCAGTTTGTTAGCTGGATCTTTACAGTGTCTCATATGCCATCGCTTCATGCATTTCACATATTGAGAATAATATATATATATATATTAATTTCTTCTGGGTTTGAGATTTCCGTCAGAGATAATTGTTAAATCACGGATGCAGTTGCACTTGTTATTTTAAGTGGTAACACGGTTCATTATCTCACTCTTATTTTATCCATTACATTGGACTCTCATTTCATATTTCTACATATTTCAATAACTTTATTTGGCAAATTAAAATAAAATAACACCACAAAACATCACGTTTGGCACAGATTTGATGCATAAGCCGGATACTTTTACATGAGTTATAAATATTTATCATGTAAATATTTACAAATGCGTTTCTGTGAACTTACAAATAGCAATAATTATAATGAAAAATATTGTAATAAATATGTAAATTTAATAAAATGTACATATTTGCAGCCATTTATAAAAATGTAAGAAAAGATGTGAATATTTTTGATGTTCAGAGAAGTGGTTATTGCACGTAGTATAAAATGTAAAGTCACTTAAAAGTTAGTCAGTTTATGCATATTTTAATGAGGAACACAAAGGTATTAATCTTCATTTCCAAATGATTAATTGCTGAAATATTGCTGTTGTCCTGTCATGATTATTTATTATTACCGCAATTAATATTGAGATAATTGTGCAGTTTAAATTTCAGTCGTGTGTGTGTGCATTTGCTCGTTTTTGCTCGTTTAGTCAGATTGTTATATAAATTTTCATAGCATTAAATTAAATAATATGGGCCTATTTTATTATAATTTTATTATTATATTATATTCGATCCCAAGTAAATAAATAACGTGCTAGGCTAACAGAGACATGAAGAAAACAGAATCCGCAGTTACTTGTCTGAAATGGATCGTCAGCACAGTGTTCATGACCGTGACATGCGTATATTGCGATTTGTATTTTTATTCCTTTAATCTCTGAAACCACGAATCTTTAATCTTCTGCAGCCACGACGTTCTTCAACCTCATCAACCTGCAGTACAGCACCATCTCGGAGTTCTGCACCGGGGACACGTGCGCCGCCATGACCGCCTGCAACACGTGAGTCTGCGTCATTCACACACACTCCATTACTCACTGCGGCCGCCGGACACCCTCAGGGGTCGTGACCCGGGGACGAGGTCGTGACCTCTGCGAGAGAATGTAAACAAAAGCTTTAATGATAAATACTTTTTTTTTTTTTTACTTAATACTTTTTTATTTATTTTTTCAATTTTATGTTGTTTTTGTATTATATTTCCTATTAGTTCTTGAAAATAAATGTTATAATTATACAACATTTCTCATATTTTATTTTTATAATTTATATTTTTATATATTTTATAGTTAATGTCATTTTTGTATTATATTTCCTATTATTTTTTTCAATTTACTAAATGTTAATATATATATATTTTTTGTTATTAAATTAAAATTATTTATTTATATATATATATTAGATATATATATATATATATATATATATATATATATATATTTATTTTTTATACAAAAACGGTAATAAAAATAATACACAATATTGTAATGTAGTGTATTTCAGTAATTGCTGACTATGTCTGCTCGTGTTTATGATATTACTGTAAGTCCGTATATAAAATAGTTTTCAATAGTTTTGGGGTTGGTAAGATTTTTTTCTCTTAAAGAAGTTAATACTTTTATTCATCAGGGATGCAGTAAACTGATGAAAAGTGACAGTAAAGACATTTATAATGTTAGAAAATATTCCATTTCAAATAAATGTTATTCTTTTCAACGTTGTATTCATCCAAATTACTTGAAAAAAAAAAAATGTTATCACAGTTTTCAACACGGATAATAATCATAATCGTTACTTTTGTTAAACGTCCCACCTGGATTTTGATAATCATAAATGTTTCTTGAGCATCAGATCCTCATATTAGAGTGATTTCTGAAGGATCATGTGACACTGAAGACTGGAGTAATGATGCTGATATAATATATGGGATGGTTTTTAGTTCGATGTGTTTTATTGCTGTGCCAGAGATTCGTTATGTTTATGATTCGACACTGACTGTAAGTGGGTCACGTGTGTGTGTGTGTGTGTGTGTGTGTGTGTGTGTGTGTGTGTGTGTGTGTGTGTGTGTGCTAATGGGAAAGGGAAGGAACTGGAGGGTTTACTAAAGCATTATGGGAAGAGGCGCTATCAGGCCGTTTGGTAATGAACATCCACAGAGAAGGAAGACACGGTGATGGATGATAGAGTGGAGAGATTGACATTCGTTTATTTCTATTGGGGAACGATCAGCGATGGAGGGAAGACGGTCATGTGATCGCTGGGCTTAGATTCAGAAGAAACATCTCTCTCTCTCTCTATCTCTATCTCTATCTCTATCTCTGTCTCTCTCTCTCTCTCTCTCTCTCTCTCTCTCTCTCTCTCTCTCTCTCTCTCTGTCTCTGTCTCTGTCTCTGTCTCTGTCTCTGTCTCTATCTCTATCTCTATCTCTATCTCTATCTCTATCTCTATCTCTATCTCTATCTCTATCTCTATCTCTCTCTCTCTCTCTCTCTCTCTCTCTCTCTCTCTCTCTCTCTCTCTCTCTCTCTCTCTCTCTCTCTCTCTCTCTCTCTCTCTCTCAGGACGTATTTCTGGTATGATGAGAAAGGGAAGAAGACGAAGTGCACAGCTCCTCAGTACGTGGACTTCGTGATGAGTTCGGTCCAGAAGCTGGTGACCGACGAGGACATCTTTCCCACTAAATACGGTGAGCGAGTCTCTAGCGCCCCCTGCAGGCCGGAGGAGGACACTGCTTCAGCTTTATTCGGGATTGGGGTTTAATCACAACAATACATTTCACTTCTGTTTTTGTTTATTTTAAAGCAAATCTCAATTTAGTAAAAAGCTAATAAACACTCACACGCATGGATAAATGTTTAAGAAATTGAGTTAAAAATAATAAATTGCTGTAGTTTGTGAAATATTGTATATTTAAACCTACTTTTAGTCTTATTTTATCCATATAAAGTGAATACGTTTTTATTCATCAGGGATGTATTAAATTGATGAAAAGTGACAGTAAAGACGTTTATAATGTTACAAAAGATAAATTTGATAAAACTGATACGTATCACCGTTTCCACAAAAATATGAAGCAGCACAACCATTTTCAACATTATTTATTATATTAATAAATGTTTCTTGAGCATCAGATCATCATATTAGAGTGATTTCTGGAGGATCATGTGACACTGAAGACTGGAGTAATGATGCTGAACATTCAGCTTTGATCGCAGGAATAAATTACACTTTACTATATATTCACATAGAAAACAGATGTTTTACATTGGAATAATATTACACAATTTTACTGAATTTTTGATCAAATAAACACAGCCTTGGTAAGCAGAACACAACTTTTGAACAGTATTGTGTGTGTGAATATATATATATATATATATATATATATAGTGCTCTTAATTTCATCGAGTTGATAACATTACCTAAGATTAATAAATGCTGTAGACGTATTGTTCATTCTTAGTTCATGGTAATTAATGCAGTTAACTAATGAACCTTATTGTAAAGTGTTGCCAAAAAAATCTCACCAACCATCTTTGACCTAATATGAATAAAAGTTTTGTAAATTCATCAGTGTGAATGTGTGAGAAACATCTCAGTTTCTCTGTGTGTGTGTGTGTGTGTGTGTGTGTGTGTGTGTGTGTGTGTGTGTGTGTGTGTGTGTGTGTGTGTGTGTGTGTGTGTGTGTGTGTGTGATACAGTGCCCTTAATTTCATTGAGTCGATATAAAGTCTTGTACACACATCTCGGTTCGTGTCCAAACCTCTGCTTTCTATACTAATACGTAATAAAGTGCTGGTAATTTCATTGAGCTGATATGAATAAAGTCCTGTACATTAACGTGTGTGTGTGTGTGTGTGTGTGTGTTCCTCAGGTAAAGAGTTCCCCAACACCTTCGACACGCTGGTGAAGAAGATCTGCAGGTACCTGTTCCACGTTCTGGCGCACATCTACTGGTCCCACTACAAGGAGACGGTGGCCATGGACCTGCACGGACACCTGAACACACTGTACACACACTTCGTAGTGTTTATAAGGGAGTTCAACCTGATGGACCCGAAGGAGACGTCGATAATGGAGGACCTGACGGAGGCCCTGTGCACGCCTCTGCCTCCGGTCCCACAGAACCACGTGAGCGAGAGATGAGGCCGCGCTGGAGCCGCACCTGTGCCACGCCGGGGCCGGAGGACTGCCGCAGCGCTCCACAGACGCTGGGACTCACACCTGCACCCTTACTGAACATTGATGTCTTTAGGACCCAGCCGGGAGCACTCACAGCGGGCCGAAGGAGGTTTAACCCTTTAACCGAGACGCTTTTCCCTTTCCTTCCCGATTTTCCCGCTTTGTGAACTGAGAATAACGTACACTCGGTGTCTCACATACAGAGATCATCATCATCATCATCATCATCAGCGAGTGGCGGATGTTTTCGCGAGGAACTTTGTGAGATGATCGGACCTTTTCCTTTTATTTATTTGTTTTCTTTTTCTTTTTAGTTGATATTTTTCAGAGCATTGATTCACACGAGCAGCACTTTCCCCTCTCTTGGTTTAATAAGGGTGTCAGCCTGGTCCTCGTACGGTATAAAGGTTTCTTTCTCATTTTTTTATAGGGTAAAAGGGGTGTGTGTGTGTGTGTGTGTGTGTTCAAGGCTTTTGCACTCAGGATCTGAGAGAGCTGTTAATGCTACCTGCTCACCCGTTAGCCTCTCGGTGTCACTTTACTCATCATATAGCAGTTCCCCTCATCCGTGGACGGGATAGACTTGTGTTGCATCATATTAGCATGTTAACCACTGTAGAGGAGAGTCTCCCGCGGCCGGGCGAGTGTGTTTCCCTCTCGTCCAGGCTCTGGAAAAGCGTCTCGGGTCTGTCATGACTTAGCCTCGTAATGAAAAGACGATTTGCGAACGGAAAAGAATGTACACTTAGTCTCTACGTACCGATCGCAAAGATTATTATTATTATCGTCGAGTGACTGAGAGAGCGAGTGAGTGAGAGAGAGAGAGAGAGAGAGTTAGTTTTTTCCTGTCGCTGTTCGGAGGAGTCGTGTCGCGATGAACTCGTTGTTGTGAGATGATCGGATCTTTTCCTTTTATTTAATTTATTTCTTTGTTTTCTTTTTCTTTTTAGTTGATACATTTTTTTTCAGGGCTCCTCAGTTCTGGCTTTTTGTTTTATGTATTTTAATAATACTTTAAGTTAAAAGCGATTTAATATTTTAAGCTCTGCAAATTATAACCTAATAAAATATTTAAAAGTCACAAATTGTGGTATTTAGTGTCGTCTTTTTCATCTGTGAACTCTAGAAGTGCTGCAGTTTCATGTGTCTTGGTCGTTTGAGCTGATTTTAGCCATGTTTGATAATGTTTAACAGTGGAACTCCTGGTGGAAAACTACATTACCCATGATTCTCCATGGTAAGTTTACATGATTACAGGTGAAACTCAAAAAATTAGAATATTGTGCAAAGGTTCATGTATTTCAGTAATTCAAATTAAAAGGTGAAACATATATATATGCATGATTTTCAGAGGGCTGACACTTCTGTATTTAAAATTTCATGTAATATTGTAATTTTCTGAGAATTTTTATTTGGGAATTTCATAAGCTGTAAGCCATAATCATCAAAATTATAACTTTTGCTCGATATTCTAATTTCTCGAGTTTCACCTGTATGTTTGATAATGTTTAACAGTGGATCTCCTGGTGGAAAACTACATTACCCATGATTCTCCAGAGAATCTCCACCAATCAGAGAGTCGAAACCAGAAGAGCTCCGCCCAATCCCACGTTAAAATACTTGTTTGCTTTAAATCAAAGTTTGCAATGTTGGGATTCACCTCAAGCTGGCGTGTGTGGTTCAATAACACAAATAACAAAGGCTGCTGAAGAAGTGTGGCACTTTTTCCACTAAATCTCTGCTTTAAATGTGTTTAAAATCATGCGTTTTCGAAGCATAAATCATGCTTTTGCGATAATCTGAATCATGTACGCTACAATTGTATAAAGACTCTGTACTCATAGTTTTCATAATGTCGGTACAGGTCGTTGAAACCCCTCAGTGTATTTGCATCACTACAGCAAACACAAGAATACAAAAATAATAAATAAAGGATAAAATACAAATTTGGTATCATTTCTAAAAGAAATACCAAATATTAGATTATTAATTTTAGTCATTAATTAGATTAAATCAAATTAGATCAAAATAAAATTTGTATTTTATTTGTTTTAATAATTTATTTATTTAAATAATAAAATACAAATGTTATATAAATTAATAAAACAAATACCAAATATTATATATATATATATATATATATATATATATATATATATATATATATATATATAAAAATGCTATTAGTAAATGGCAAAAATAAATAGATTAAAATAAAAAAAATAGCAGTAGAAAAAGAACTTTATAATACTTATTTTTGACCATATAAATTGGGTCTTAATACATGAGAAATGTATCGCTGCCTCTTTAATGTGAGGTGGGTGTCAGTAACGTCTCAAACACGTGTGAAAAAGGGGCATTTTATTTTAAAAAGAAAAAAACACATACAGCACATTTTTATTTCAGATAGTTTAGTTCAATCAACCAATATGCAGATTATTGTGCAATTCAGCATTTTATTACTTTACAAGAAAGGAATAGAAACCATATCCAGCCATAAAGATCCACTTTCTCCATGATGGATCTTTATTTGTCGGCTCTTACGAACGCGGAGAAAACGCTGTCCTTCTGCTCCAGAAGCACATCAGGCTCATCGTACTCCACGATCCCGCCGCGCTTCATCACGATCACCGCGTCTGAGCCCAGGATAGTGTGAACGCGGTGCTGGACGACACACACACACACATCAGGGTCAGATCATGGAGGTTTCGGGTTAATAAACGCTGTGTTTACAGTAGGGCTGCCCCGTTACTTTATTATTATATCACTCATCGACCTCAAATATGGCTTATCACTTAAAATATTAGTAGCAACTTCCGCTCTCGCTAATGCTAACCTAGATAAATGCTATTATTAGATGTATGTCTACAGGTGAAACTCGAAAAATTAGAATATAGTGCAAAAGTTATGATTTTGATGATGATGTCCCCAAATTCAAAATCTCAGAAAATTAGAATATCACATGAAATCGATTAAAAAAGGGATTTTAAATACAGAAATGTCAGCCCTCTGAAAAGTATAATCACGCATATGTATATAGTTATATATACTAAATATATAAGTTTCACCTTTTAAGTTGAATTACTGAAATACATGAACCTTTGCACGATATTCTAATTTTTCGAGTGTTTGTGTGGAGAGTGTGTTACTGCATGACATACTTAAAATACTTTTATTTTTGGTCATACAGAGAGTAATGCAAACTGTAAAGAGTCTACTTTTATTTTTTTAAACTCAAAATAACATCAAAAACGTTGTGCTTTTGTGAAATACTGGTGTTTTCTGTGGATCGGGTCTCAGTGGACGAGCGCATCACATAAACGGCCCGAAACTCAGCGTATACTCGCCTCACAGACATGAGAAATATGGCTATAGAAAGCTTGACATGTCTACATTTTGAATAAACCGATTCAAATTGAAAATGAATATTCTGAGATTGTGTAATCCATATGAAACGAGCATGTAGGCGGAGATGACGAGTCGGCATCGTGACTTTACAGAACACAGAAAACATTACTAATAAATTAAAATGTTTAGACCGTCTCCTGTGTTGTTCACGACACTAATAATCATTACGTTTGCCGGTGCGCTTCAAGCTTTGTGTGCATTTGAGCGCTGATTAGGCTATGTATTTTATATAGGCAATTAAAGGCGCATCGTTATGATTTATGACTTATTAATATAAGATTAATGGCTTAAATCCACGACGGCTATTCGACTGGAAACACATTTAGTCGAGGGCAGCCCGAGTTTATAGATATTAATGCTCCCGCCAGGCTGTCGTTGTAAGTAAGAACTTGACCTTAAGTGACTTGCCTGGTTAAATAAAGGTTAATAAATAATAATTCTAGTCAGAGAGGCAGATACTCACTGCGATGGTCACCACTGTTCGGTCCGCGAACGCCGTCATCACCACTTTCTGCAGAATACTCTCCTGTAAGAGCAAAACATGAAGATTCATCACCTTTACATGCAGGAAACAGACACTGGGAGGTTTTCATTAATTTTTTCACCTTTATAAAATGACTAAAGAGTATTTAATTTGTTATATGTTATCGAATATGGTTTTATGACTTTGATAAATGATTATAGGCTATTGTAAAAGCAGGGTTAGCCCTAACCCAAGCATCTCAGAACTGATGTGACACTCGTTTAAAGTTCACGCCGACATCGGGAAAAACTAAATCTAGATGTCAGGATTAAAGCATTTATCGGCATTATGAAACCTTTGATGCATGTAAACCTGTTCTAGGAGACTCCAAAACAACATTAGGAAACGTTAAAATAAGCTCAACTCAAACGCGCCTCGAGATCTTGCGTTTCCCCTGTTCAAACTCCTGAGCGAGGATCATGAGGTAAGGTGCAGATTTGTGCGCTGTGTTTTTAAAATGTATCATGAGTAACTCTGTCCTCATTTATGTGTGTGTTCATCTTCTTGTTTGGGCTGTTTAATATTAGGATGCTGTTTAAAATACCCCAGCGCCCCCCTGACAATACATGTGACCCTGGATCACGAAACCAGTCTCGAGTCGCACTGGTGTATTTGTGGCAACAGCCAACAATACATTGTGTGGGTCAAAATAATAGATTTTTCTTTTATGCCAAAAATCAATAGGATATTAAGTAAAGATCATGTTCCGAGAAGATATTTTGTAAATTTTCTACTGGTTTTTCAAATAGTTGTATCTCGACCAAATATTGTCATGTCTTTATACATTTTACATGGGTTGTTAGGATATGTATAAATCTCAATTTCACAAAATTGACCCATGTGACTGATTTTGTGGTGCAGGGTCACGCATGTCCCCGTGTCTGTGGTTCTCACTGTGGCCATGTCGATGGATGCTGTGGCTTCATCCATGATGAGGATGCTGGTCTTCCTCACGAAGGCCCGAGCGAGACAGAAGAGCTGACGCTGACCCTGACTGAAGTTCTCACCGCCCTCCGTCACCACCGCGTCTGAGGAGCGAACACACCAGCAGACAACCAGTTAATGCATAATAAAAGCATCTGAGGAGCGACAAACTAACTAAATACACTCACCTAAAGGATTATTAGGAACACCTGTTCAATTTCTCATTAATGGAATTATCTAATCAACCAATCACATGGCAGTTGCTTCAATGCATTTAGGGGTGTGGTCCTGGTCAAGACAATCTCCTGAACTCCAAACTGAATGTCAGAATGGGAAAGAAAGGTGATTTAAGCTATTTTGAGCGTGGCATGGTTGTTGGTGCCAGACGGGCTGGTCTGAGTATTTCACAATCTGCTCAGTTACTGGGATTTTCACGCACAACCATTTCTAGGGTTTACAAAGAATGGTGTGAAAAGGGAAAAGCATCCAGTATGCGGCAGTCCTGTGGGCGAAAATGCCGTGTTGATGCTAGAGGTCAGAGGAGAATGGGCCGACTGATTCAAGCTGATAGAAGAGCAACTTTGACTGAAATAACCACTCGTTACAACCGAGGTATGCAGCAAAGCATTTGTGAAGCCACAACACACACAACCTTGAGGCGGATGGGCTACAACAGCAGAAGACCCCACCGGGTACCACTCATCTCCACTACAAATAGGAAAAAGAGGCTACAATTTGCAAGAGCTCACCAAAATTGGACAGTTGAAGACTGGAAAAATGTTGCCTGGTCTGATGAGTCTCGATTTCTGTTGAGACATTCAGATGGTAGAGTCAGAATTTGGCGTAAACAGAATGAGATCATGGATCCATCATGCCTTGTTACCACTGTGCAGGCTGGTGGTGGTGGTGTAATGGTGCGGGGGATGTTTTCTTGGCACACTTTAGGCCCCTTAGTGCCAATTGGGCATCGTTTAAATGCCACGGCCTACCTGAGCATTGTTTCTGACCATGTCCATCCCTTTATGGCCACCATGTCCCCATCCTCTGATGGCTACTTCCAGCAGGATAATGCACCATGTCACGAAGCTCGAATCATTTCAAATTGGTTTCTTGAACATGACAATGAGTTCACTGTACTAAAATGGCCCCCACAGTCACCAGATCTCAACCCAATAGAGCATCTTTGGGATGTGGTGGAACGGGAGCTTCGTGCCCTGGATGTGCATCCCACAAATCTCCATCAACTGCAAGATGCTATCCTATCAATATGGGCCAACATTTCTAAAGAATGCTTTCAGCACCTTGTTGAATCAATCCCACGTAGAATTAAGGCAGTTCTGAAGGCGAGGTCAAACACAGTATTAGTGTGGTGTTCCTAATAATCCTTTAGGTTTGTTAAATAGATGCTTTTATTGTGCATTGAATGCTTTTGAGGAGGGACAAACAAACTAAATAAAACCAGTTAATGCATAATAAAAGCATCTGAGAAGCATCAAACAAACACCAGACCAACGTATAAACATTTAATGCACAATAGAAGAACTAAAGCTACGTTCTACAGGCTGAAACGACCCAATTCCGATTTTTTTGCTCCTATGCGACCTGTATCTGATCTTTTCATGAGAGTCTGAACAACACAGATGCGATCTTTTCAAATGCGACCCAGGCCACTTGGGTATGTGGTCCAAATCCGATATGTATCCGATCTTTTGAAATGCGACTTCAATCTGAACGGCCAGGCCACATGTATCCGACCCGCACGTCATTGATATGCGACAAACGTCATAATTCTGCATTGAAGTAGGCGGGAATGAGAAGATTGTAATAATGCTGGCTCTGTTGGGAACATAACTTTAATATTGCTAAACGAGCTCCACTGTTGACATCCATGTTTATACTTCCGCAAACAACAAGTGACGTTGTTGACCGTTGAGTACTCTTCTGCGCATGCGGGTCATTTCACGTTCCCGTTCACACAAGAGATCACAAAAGGTCGCGTTTAATTGGAAATGTGAAGGGCCTTGCAAAAAAATTAAATTTTTTCAAAAAATCGGAATTGAGCATTAAGCCCCTGCAGTGTGAATGCAAGGCTCATTTGAAAACGTACCTGTGGCAACATTTTTGCAAAGCGCAAAATACGTTGCGTACTTGCGTCCTGCATGTTTCACGACAGTTTCAAAGTGAAATGTCTGGTGACTGGCGCTAAAAGTGTTTCGTTTTTTTACAGAACAGATGAACGTGAATATGGCAACGTTTTATTATTGGAGTTTGTACGCATCACTGCAATTCTGCATTGAAATGTCCGGTGACCGGCGCTAAAAGATTAATGCTCAATCATGTTTTAAAATAACCTACACTAAACCCTAAACCTACCCGATAGTGTTAACACACATAATCATGACATAAAAATCATTGCATAATAAAAGCATCTGAGGAGCGACAACACCAGACCAACATAAAACATGTAATGCACAATTAATGGATGGATGAGTTACAGTACCAGTCTAAAGTTTAGAAGAATAATGCTTTTTTTTAAAGGAAGTCTCTTCTGCTCACAGAGGCTGCATTTATTTAATCAGTAACAACTGTGAAATATTATTAGAGTTTAAAATAACTGCAGATTATTGTGTAATTCAGCTATGTGATTATGGTAACACTTTACAATAAGGTTCGTTAGTTAACACTATAATAGTTAGTTAACATGAACTGCACGAACACAGCATTTATTGTTAATTTCAACATTTACTAACCTTATTGTTAAAGTGTTATAAATGAATATATAGTAAGTGTAATTTATTCCTGTGAATTTTCAGCATCATTACTCCGGTCTTCAGTGTCACATGATCCTTCAGAAATTATTCTAATATGATGATTTGCTTAATTATTATTGGTACTCAATTGCGGCTTCATATTTTTGTGGAAACTGATGCACTTTGTTTTTCAGGATTCTTTGATGAATAGAAAATTTTAAATAACAGCATTTATTTTGAAACAAAAATAAATTAATTACTTTAATTCAGCAGACATTTATTTATTTATTTTTTCACAAAAATATGAAGTGACACTGAAGACTGGAGTAATGATGCTGAAAATTCAGCTTTGATCACAGGAATAAATTACACTTTACTGTATATTCACATAGAAAACAGCTGATTTACATTTGAATAATATTTCACAGTTTTTACTGTATTTTTCATCAAATAAACACAGCCTTGGTGAGCAGAAGAGACCAAAAAAAACATAAAAAATCAGATTTTTTCCAAACTTTTGAGCAGTACTGTATCCGTCTGGTGGTTGTTCTGCTGCTCTGGTCAGTT